GCTACTAACTGCTACTAACAGCTACTGACAGCTACTAACAGCTACTAACAGCTACTAACAGCTACTGACAGCTACTAACAGCTACTAACTGCTACTAACAGCTACTAACAGCTACTGACAGCTACTAACAGCTACTAACTGCTACTAACAGCTACTGACAGCTACTAACCGCTACTAACAGCTACTAACTGCTACTAACAGCTACTGACAGCTACTAACCGCTACTAACTGCTACTAACAGCTACTGACAGCTACTAACCGCTACTAACAGCTACTAACTGCTACTAACAGCTACTGACAGCTACTAACCGCTACTAACAGCTACTAACTGCTACTAACAGCTACTGACAGCTACTAACAGCTACTAACTGCTACTAACAGCTACTAACAGCTACTGACAGCTACTAACCGCTACTGACAGCTACTAACAGCTACTAACAGCTACTAACAGCTACTGACAGCTACTAACCGCTACTAACTGCTACTGACAGCTACCAACAGCTACTAATCGCTACTGACAGCTACTAACCGCTACTGACCGCTACTAACAGCTACTAACAGCTACTGACAGCTACTGACAGCTACTAACCACTACTAACCGCTACTAACAGCTACTAACAGCTACTGACAGCTACTAACCGCTACTAACAGCTACTAACCGCTACTAACCGCTACTGACAGCTACTAATTGCTACTAACAGTTACTAACAGTTACTAACAGCTACTAACAGTTACTAACAGCTACTAACAGTTACTAACAGCTACTAACAGTTACTAACAGCTACTAACAGTTACTAACAGTTACTAACAGCTACTAACAGTTACTAACAGTTACTAACAGCTACTAACAGTTACTAACAGCTACTAACAGTTACTAACAGCTACCATGTGGAAGAAGGTGTTTTGGTCAGTTGTGCATTTGGACTAAATGAACAATGTTGTGTAAGCCGTAAACCTAATACTGCTCATCGCACCATCCCCAGAGTCAAATATAGTAGGGAGACTTTTCTTCAACAGGGACTGCGATTGTAAGAAAGGGTGGGATGATGGATTGAGCCAAATACATTTTGTAGGAAAAGCCCTTCCAAAGCTAAATCTAACTGCTCCATGAGTAAACAGGCAAAAAAGTATTTAGTCAGCCACCGATTGTGCAAGTTCTCCCACTTAAAATAATGACAGAGGTCTGTAATTTTCATTATAGGTTCACTTCAACTGTGAGAGACAGAATGTGAAAAAAAAATCCAGGAATTCACATTGTAGGATTTTTAAAGAATTTATTTGTAAATTATGGTGGAAAATAAGTATTTGGTCACTTCAAACAAGTAGATCTGTGGCTCTCACAGACCTGTAACTTCTTCTTTAAGAAGCTCTTCTGTCCTCCACTCGTTACCTGTATTAATGGCACCTGTTTGAACTCATCTGTATAAAAGACACCTGTCCACAGCCTCAAACAGTCAGACTCCAAACTCCACTATGGCCAAGACCAAAGAGCTGTCGAAGGACACCAGGAAAAGAATTGTAGACCTGCACCAGACTGGGAAGAGTGAATCTACAATAGGCAAGCAGCTTGGTGTGAACAAATCAACTGTGGGAGCAATTATCAGAAAATGGAAGACATACAAGACCAATGATAATCTCCCTTGATCGCAAGATCTCATCCCGTGGGGTCAAAATGATCGTGAGAACGGTGATCAAATATCCCAGAACCACACGGGGGGACCTGGTGAATGACCTGCAGAGAGCTGGGACCAAAGTAACAAAGGTTACCATCAGTAACACACTACGACGACAGGGAATCAAATCCTGCAGTGCCAGACGTGTCCCCCTGCTGAAGCCAGTGCATGTCCAGGCCCGTCTGAAGTTTGCCAGAGAGCACATGGATGATGCAGGCCCGTCTGAAGTTTGCCAGAGAGCACATGGATGATACAGCAGAGGATTGTGAGAATGTCATGTGGTCAGATGAAACCAAAGTACAACTGTTTGGTATAAACTCAACTCGTCGTGTTTGGAGGAAGAAGAATACTGAGTTGTATCCCAACAAAACCATACCTACTGTGAAGCATGGGGGTGGAAACGTCATGCTTTGGGGCTGTTTTTCTGCTAAGGGGACAGGACAACTGATCCATGTTAAGGAAAGAATGAATGGGGCCATGTATCGTGAGATTTTGAGCCAAAACCTCCTTCCATCAGTGAGAGCTTTGAAGATGAAACGTGGCTGGGTCTTCCAGCATGACAATGATCCCAAACACACCGCCCGGGCAACGGAGGAGTGGCTCCGTAAGAAGCATTTGAAAGTCCTGGAGTGGCCTAGCCAGCCTCCAGACCTCAACCCCATTGAAAATCTGTGGAGGGAGGTGAAAGTCCGTGTTCACTGCTCTCAAGAAGATCTGCATGGAGGAATGGGCCAAAATACCAGCTACTGTGTGTGCAAACCTGGTAAAGACCTATAGTAATCGTTAGATCTCTGTTATTGCCAACAAAGGTTATATTACAAAGTATTGAGTTGAATTTTTGTTATTGACCAAATACTTATTTTCCACCATAATTTACAAATAAATTCTTTAAAAATCCTACAATGTGAATTCCTGGATATTTTTTCACATTCTGTCTCTCACAGTTGAAGTGAACCTATGATGAAAATGACAGACCTCTGTCATTATTTTAAGTGGGAGAACTTGCACAATCGGTGGCTGACTAAATACTTTTTTGCCCCACTGTATAACAGTCTATGGTGGGTTTGCCAGTAGTTTTTTTCCAATCTCAAAACCTGCTTTCTCTTATATTTATTTTACACCTCTTTATCAGTTTTTCCTTCAGAATCTTCTCAGTGGGTGATTGAAAACTAAGTAACTATAAGTTTACTGTTGTGCAGCTTTGTTCCATTTCATCCTGAATGTTGGTTTCATATGAACAGAAATATACTTCTATTGTCGTTCCCCACAGTGAGGTTGCCGATATAATTGGTTATAGTTTAAATTAATGAAACAGTCTCGTTCTTGTACAAAAATCTATGACGTTGCTATCTTTAAGCAGTGAAATAATAAAGTGCCATTTACTGGTTGGACGCTTTGGTGTGTTTGAAAAATATTGCTGAAGAAGCCGTGATCTGAAAATACTACAATACAAATCTGAGGCTGAATTTTTTTACCAAACAGAAATCCATCCTTGAATATAATTTATGATGTGGTTATAAAAGTGTGTGACCTCCAAATGCAATTTAGTCTGACATGAACTCCTTAAGCAAACTTTGGAGGGTGTATTTTCCTTCGGCCCGTTGGATGAAGAACGATCTATGTCTGGGCACGAAATTGAAATCTCCGCCCAAGATGATAAAAGTTTGAGAATTACTTTGCAATACAGAAAATAAGGAATGGAGGAAACTCGGTCAATCTGAGTTTGGGCCATTAATATTGGCCGAGGTTAGTGTCTGTCTGCCCATGGATCATGTTACAGTTATAGAACCTCCTTCTTGGTCAAAGCTGTTTTATCTAAATGTTTGGGATGGATTTATGAATGAACTTAGACACCCATATTTAGTTTGAGCTGTACGTGTTGCTGTAGAGAGTTGGCCTGAAGCTTCTGCCTCAGTTTGTCTATGGGTGAGTTGAATCTTCTGATGTTCCAAGAATTAATTTCAACAGAAAGTTCCACTATTTGTATTGAGTGTTAATCAGAAGTAGTTCTAAATTTGCAAAATACGGTTACTTTACTTTTAGTGGTGCATTTGATTGAAGACAACATTGACAAAAACAGACACAAATACAAATAGACCAACAGGTTTGACCTCCAAGCTGAACCCACATGTAGATCTGTCACTGACGTGGTCTGGAGGTGTCATCTTTTTCTTTATAAGCCTTAAAATATATCCTACAAACGCTAACTTAATTATGAGAAATGAGAAATGGTAACTCGTCATCTTGGGAGAGGCAGTAGAGTTAAGAGAAGTCTGTGGTGGATGAGGAAGAGTGGTGACAGTGAAAGAGGTTTAGGGAGGTATTTATCACGAGCACTTAACTTTATGTTCTAATTCTAACAAGGGACAGACGGCACCAAAGCTGCAGCTTCTGTCATTCCCCATCTGTATGTTTTCCGTCCCTGAGACACTGTTTCAGACACTGCACTGCACTGCTGCACACACAGCCCCCTCTGCTGGCGCTACCAGGTACATCCTCTACTATTCTGTCCTGTATGTCCTCAAACTGTTGACTGGAGCAAGGCCTTCTCTGCTGGCCTTGCGGGTCGACTCAGTGATCAGTATTCAGGAAGGTATTTTATTCCACAAATATGCATTAATCATCCCCACCGTCTATACTCTTCATTTCATAGTTTTCCTAAGTTGGTTGAGCAGCTTTCCAGGTCAATATTTGGGGGGCTGGCGTTTATGTTTTTATCCAATCATTATAAACAGGAAAAAAATGAAATTTTAATTTTTAAGTTTAAGTTTTTTTCAACCCAGAATGGCTGAAGGAGGCAAAGATATCGATTTGGTCACAGATATAGTTACAACGCCATTCTCAAAGAATAACTAGACGCTGTTAAGGGAGCGAGCCGACACTGCAGCTCTGAAACACACAGCTCGCCACTGTCTGGACTGGTCTGGAAGTTTGTTGAACACGAACCTACTGTACATAGTGATGAGGCCAATGTATTGTGGTAATTAGATAGCTATAAAGTGATCTGGCCTTAGGACAACGACCCGATTTTGTATCTGCGATGATTGTGTGTCCGTGTTCTGTTCTTTCGTTGTCTTGTTATGTTCTGATTGTTCTCTTGATATGACACGAATGCTTATCCATGTATGACGCATGTGTGACGTAAACATTGACTATAGAAACCATATCCTAAATATGTTCTGTCTGAAAAACCACTGAAAAGCCACTGAGAATAAACATTCAAGCTCTGGTGCGCCTTGATCCCGGGTCTGTGTGCTTGATTCTCCACAGTATGTATTTTTATTTCTGTAGGAGCAGTTTGGGGGTAGAGACACAGACAGTGTGTACCTCTTTGGCCAGGTGCTTCAGCAGCTTGTTCTTCTCCTTCTGGCTCAGCCGCACTTTAGCCATACTCAGGATCTGAAACACACACATGAAGCTAAAGCAGAGGTTCGGACTGAAACACTGGGAACTCTACGTATTCAGAGCTCACTGCTCTCAGTCTTCACACTGCTGCGCCGCATCAGCAATCAGTCACTCACACTCAGTTGGCAGCTGCACACTGCTAATTCTGACCTGGCAGCCCTTGTAGTTCCGCCATGCTCCATCAGAGGCATTTCACTGAACACTAGGGTCTGGGATCGAGCTCATGGCAAAACTCCTTTAGGAGATCGCCGATGTTACGTCGGGTTTGCACCGCCTTCTCGCACGTTTTAGCCAAATTAAACCATGATGGCGGACATAAAGTCCGTGAATTTATTTAAATAAAAGTTTACGTACGAATGAATTAAGACACGGATGTCACTTTTAATGCAATTTGAGGCGAGATGTTGACGGTTCTATGTTGTTAAATGTGTGTTTTAAGAGTCAAATGCTTGTGTAAAGTTTGGTTTAAGTACTGTTTAAGTACCGCTCATCACAACACTAGGCAACAGGGTTGTCAGGTTGGGTGGTTTCCCGCATACTTTTGTTCCAAGCCACTTGAACATTACGTTTTTAGCCAAAAAATCATTCTGGGTGTTTTTTTGGGGCATTCTTGCTGGTTTTGGGCTGGAAAATCTTTCTGGCAACGCAGTGTGCTGAATTATGTGCTTCGTTGTGAGTGGTTGAATTCCTCCGCTAGACCCAGACCCTCGTGTGAAGTTCAGCGAACTACACGGGTCTATCGAGAGTCAGGTTCTGCCCTGCATCGAGCTTTCATATCGTACAGAAAACTTTCATTCGTGTCGGGCCGAGAGATTATGGCACTTTATGAGACGTACTTAGAAGACTTGTTATTTTATTAAATAAGGATCTTATTTTAAGTTGTCTTTAGATTTAAACTCTTACATGGATAGAACCAAGGCCAGACTAAAGCTAAAGAAGGCTAAGTGTTGTGAGCAGGTGCATGTTTTTGATCCATTATTATGAGGTATAACGAGCCATCGTTGCACTCATCAAGTTGGGAACATTCATTTGAATACAGGCAGATAGTTTGAAGTTTGAGGATGAGGACGATCCGAGGGCCTAATGTGAATCAGGCCGTATGTGGCCCCTGGGCCACACTTTGCCCAGGTCTGAACCGGCACCAATTCAAGAAAGAGGAAAGTGTGAAAACATCGACTTTCTCATAGGAAAAAAATATGATAAAGTACAACTGGCAGAGTATCCACAAGGTGGCAGTATAGGACAATCAAGACAAGCATGATTTTCAACAAGCATGATAAGTAACAGTACTCTTAGTACAGTCTGACAGTGTAACAGTACTCTTTCTACAGGCTGACAGTGGAACAGTACTCTTTCTACAGGCTGACAGTGTAACAGTACTCTTACTACAGTCTGACAGTGGAACAGTACTCTTACTACAGTCTGACAGTGGAACAGTACTCTTTCTACAGGCTGACAGTGTAACAGTACTCTTACTACAGTCTGACAGTGGAACAGTACTCTTACTACAGTCTGACAGTGTGACAGTACTCTTACTACAGTCTGACAGTGCAACAGTACTCTTAGTACAGTCTGACAGTGTCACAGTACTCTTAATACAGTCTGACAGTGTAACAGTCTACAGTCTGACAGTGTAACAGTACTCTTTCTACAGGCTGACAGTGGAACAGTACTCTTACTACAGTCTGACAGTGTGACAGTACTCTTACTACAGTCTGACAGTCCAACAGCAATCTTACTACAGTCTGACAGTGCAACAGTACTCTTAGTACAGTCTGACAGTGTAACAGTCTACAGTCTGACAGTGTAACAGTACTCTTACAACAGTCTGACAGTGTAACAGTACTCTTACTACAGTCTGACAGTGTAACAGTACTCTTACTACAGTCTGACAGTGTGACAGTACTCTTACTACAGTCTGACAGTGTAACAGTACTCTTACTACAGTCTGACAGTGCAACAGTACTCTTACAACAGTCTGACAGTGTCACAGTACTCTTACTACAGTCTGACAGTGTAACAGTACTCTTACTACAGTCTGACAGTGTGACAGTACTCTTACTACAGTCTGACAGTGTAACAGTACTCTTACTACAGTCTGACAGTGCAACAGTACTCTTACAACAGTCTGACAGTGTCACAGTACTCTTACTACAGTCTGACAGTGTAACAGTACTCTTACTACAGTCTGACAGTGTGACAGTACTCTTACTACAGTCTGACAGGTCAGGTTTTCAGTATTCTGGCCTGCCAGGTCTCTTGAAGACCTTCTGACTCTGTGGTGGCCTCAGACTTCCTCTAGAGCAGTAACGTCACAACATGGCTGCTCTGTGTGTCACTTCTAAGCTTCAATTAAAATTATTTGTGTATCGCCCGTTTGGCTGCAACATTCCTGCTTTAGGTCGAGGCCCAAACAGCTCCAATGGCTTCATTGGAGGTTTTTTTTAATGAATTTCAGATGAGTCTCCCCATATCTACATTTAAAAAAAAATGTAAAAAAAAAAATATTGTCCTCTGCATTTGACCCCTCCTGATGCCACTAAGGCTTACGTCAGGAGCAGTGGTCGCTGCAGTACAGCGCCCGGGAACCCATCTCCAGGTGTTAATACTCGGCTTGGTCAGGACTACCGGAGCTGGAGGATTTTACCTAGTGAGCATATTTTTAGTGGTAGGGGAAACCGGAGTACCCGGAAGAAACCTACGCAGACACGGGGAGAACATGCAAACTCCACTCAGAAAGGCCCTGGTCCGACCGGGATTCGAACCCAGGAGCTTCTTGCTGAGAGGCGAGAGTGCTATCCACTCAGCCACCGTGCTTAAATACTTACATTAAAATCCTGTGATTCCAGCTGTTCAGGCGACCGCTCACCTGTGGTAATAATGGTCAGTAGAAAACTATTGTGCAATAAAGAATGTGCAATCAGGTGTCCACTGACAAATCTATTTATTTCTATTCTAATCGTAACTGGACACTTCAGCTAAACAAAGTTATTCTCATTTATCTACAGTTGTGTAAAGTGTGCTGCAACACTGAAATGTCCCCACTGTGGGACACAGAAAGGTTTCTTCTCTGTTCATATCTTATTCACTGCAAAGATTTCTCAATTTTGGAAATATGTGTAAATTTTTCCAAAGGGACAAACCAAAATGATCTTGTTTAAAAAGATAAAAGAAATGTCTCCCGCATGGAATGAGAAAATGAAGCAACAGTTCTTGAAATAAGACTAAATGGCTTTGTCCCGTTGGAAAATCTTGTGTTAATTGATTCCAGCTATAACAACCTCATATTTATCAGGGATATTTCACTCGGTAAACCTGCCTCTGCAAACACACACTGACTTTAGATCTGTTCAAAGTATCTGACGCACTTGTGTAACGGAGCTGGACACATGACGTGGGGAATAGAGTTTCACTGAGATCACAGAGAGTCAGGACCAAACACCTGTGCACCAGAACCACATACTCAGTGTTGTCAGTAACGTGATAACAGTAACGCGTTACTATAATCCAATCACTTGCTCTGAGTAACGAGTAAAGTAAGGGATTACATCTGCAAAACAGTAATGTGTTTACATTTACTTTATTCTAAACAAGCAGTGTTACAAAACCGTGAGTGTTGTGATGTTTGTCTCGTCGACTCGTGACAAATGAATGATGAGAGATGCGGCCGCTGCGGCGTGATAAACTGTTATTACAGCAGAACGTAAAAGATGAAAGTGGGGACGACCACGGAGCAGTTCATTTATGGAGACACCGGCGTTACTTTGAGTTTGAGGCCGTGACATCAGTATCAGCGTCCGCTGTTTACTGCGTGGGAAGGACAATAGTGAAGGACTCCACATCAGACAAACGGAGAAGAGTGAACCATGGACTGTGTGCTGCTGGTGCTGGTGTCACAGTGAGACCAGGAGGAGATTGTTTGTTTTACCAGTGGAAAAGATATGCACCATTTTAATTATGTGTAAGCCAACTCATCCTCCAACCTTTGCTATAGCACTTCAGATGGTGAATATCTGGAGAAGTGCTAGAGCAGGAAGTGTCCTGCTACATTTACTTTCATGTTAATGTTCTGCCGTTTGATCAAAAACAACATTTGTAGTTGACCTTTATTTAAATTACTAAAACAAACATGATCATGTTATTTTCTTGTGACACAATGTAATCCAAAAGTAATGTAACGTAGCTACTTTCTTCCAGAAGTAACTAAGTAATGTGACTAATTACTTTTATAAGTAATTAGTAATTTGTAACTAATTACTTTTTCAAAGTAACTTGCCCAATATTACAAATCATACACACGCCTTAAAACCAATAGAATGTGCCATTTCTTTCACAGACTTGATAGAAAACTGTCCCACAGTGAGGACAGTGTCTTAGCGCACAGCACAGAGCCCTGGGAGGAGAGACTGAAGCATGATTGGAACGCTCTCAGAAATAATAGCAAACATAAAATCAAACTATAACAAGAAACATATGTAGTTTGCTCATAATGGCTAACAATGTCAGTAATGACCAAGTACGTACGGAGCAACAAATGGAAACAGCCGCTGCTCGCTCACTCACCCGCACAGATCACCGTGGAGCCCTCCGCCCATGGTCACATCACCCCCGCTGTCATCCTGGGTCTTGGGCAGTTCAGTACCACGGACAGCTCCATGGACAGCTCCATGGACAGTTCCGGGGCCACGCTCCGTGAGTAAAGCCGAGGACAGAGCTCCAGAGCCCCGCGGACCTCACAGGAACTTTACACTGGACTTGCACTCGCCAGGCGCATGCGCACGGCACAGCCCGCCTTCAGGTAACGTGCATCAGGATCAGGCCTGTGGGCAAATATTTCCTCCGGGGGGCAACGCTGGGGTATCGGTACATTGTGGAGGACCGGACTCGTTTTCATGTGGTAACCATTGAATCATCTTTGAGTGAGAACTTCTTCAGTTCAGAGAATGAGAGAGAAACCTGAAGATATAGATGTAATTATTGTGTTT